TTTAACCTATAATATAGTATAGTATACATTGGGACTTTTTGATAATCAACATAAAATGTACCTTCTTGTGTATTGATGAAGCCCCAGCCTGCAAGGTAACATTGGGAATTTGTTGGAAAGACATCATTTTCATCAGGAAAGCATATTGGTTGTACATAATCAGTATAGATAAGAGGTAATTTTAAATGTAGCAATGCCAAGTCCCATTCGGTCAGTCCGGTTTTAAACTGGATCATCTTAGGGTGGAGAATAACTTCATCAACTTGTCGGCTCTGTGAATGTACATCACCATGTCTCTGTCGTACGTTTGTTCCAGCAGTTACCTCAAAAAAGTGTGGAGTTAAACTGTAGTTGGCTGTAGATGTTCTGTAAAAGATACAAATAAGAAACACATGATTACCTTATCTAATTATAGCCTTAAAAATGAGCTTGTTGGAAATAACATTATCTTTGCATTCAAAATAAGCAAAAACAACTTCCGTTTTTCAAACTTAATATTGAAATAAATGCTAGAGTAATATGTGGCCAGACGCTTTATGTAACATTATTGCAATATAACAGCAAAAAGGTCTTTTAAAATTTAAACAGATAAAACAAGAACCATGCAATATTAATTATTCTATAAACTTACACAATACAATGTGCTGCTGTAAGAATCCATTGCTGATTAACTATCACGCCACCACACCATCCCTCTCCTAGCCTAGTTATAGACACGACCCACGGCCACTTGCCTGCTGGAGCTAGTGTACCTCCCACAATAAATGGGCTCATTATCTCAATTTTCCTCTCACCACAAACTAAATAAAACATATAATAGTAAATCATACATCACACTAAATTTTGATATGTTTTTACAAAGTCAGAAAATGAAAAACACTGTAGTTGCCTTAATTAAAATGCCATTCCCTGTGCCCTGTATATGTGAAATTCTGTTCAAGACATTTAATGTTCAACCCTGAGTGTAGACCATTCGCTCCCAAGACACTATTCCCTCCAAAGAAATGTTCATATAGATATAAGTCATATAAGTATAAAATTCTGCACTTAATAAAATTGTTCTTGTTTTTAGCCCAGAAAAGTCAACATAGTTTATCTCTTTGTGAGAAGGAATAATGCAGAATTTGCATTTTAGTTCATGGTCTGCCCAGAAATCAATTCTGTCCCAATTCCACCCAGAATCCATGCCAAATTTTGTACAGGCACTAGACTTACATTTTTAATTTTTTTTTTAGCTCTTATTCATAATTTATACATAATGCTCTTAATTCTATGTGTACATTAAAGTTAAAACTAACCATTAAATACTTTTAAATAATTGCAGTATTTATCACCATATTTTTACTGCACGACTAACACAGTAAGGGCTTTTTGGGGACATATATTTTACCTCTTACAGCTAATTTACATGGATTGTAAGATAAGTGCAATTTGAAAATTTGTAATTTACTTTTCAATTATTTTTCACTTCACAATATTTTACTCTCAAATACATTTGTAAAATTTTCATGAAAATTAGTGTGAATCTGGAAGCATCCCACTTTAACATTTGGATATTTTATCACAAAAAAAAATATATAAAATTTTACCATTCTGACGGCATTCCACACTAATAACTTTATTTCCTGGGCATGATGATCTGAAACATGATAATGAATAAAATACATTATTTATTTTCATCACACATAATGATTGATAAAGGCAAAAAAAGAGAGAAAAAAATTGTAAAAGTTTATCAAAGGTAACAGTCATGTAAAATAAACACTGTTAACATACATAAAACATCTTACATTAGTTGTCATTACATATAAACTTTAACAAGTCTAGGAGCCCGCCCTTAACTGATTTTTTAGTAGCTGAAAATGAGGGAACATAATATATCTTTTAAATTCCAAGATGATCTAAGATACGTTCTTTTGCTTTAAAGTTGGGGTAATTATGATAAAAAGGCATTTCAAGTTTAAAAGCAATGACATGTACTTAAGAAAGTTCATAAAAAGTATAACAGAAACCCAAACGTCCAACATTTTTAGGTACAATTTTATGAATGACAGAGTTCAACAAGGGGCATAATGATGTCATAATAAATGACAGAGATGTCTCCAAATGGATGTGATAGTTATAAATCTAAGGCAATATCTTAATGGTTCCAATGAAAAAATATGTTTGTACAACTAAACATTTCATACAATGAAAAAAGACTGAACAATTCTCCAAGATTCAAACATTTTTGAAATATCTTTAATGGACTTCTCAGTCTTTATATGTTAACCCTTAAATTCATAATGAGCAGGCGTCATGGTTGCACTGATCTCATGGGTAGACTGTGTTCCTGCCAGCAAGCTAAGGGTTAATTTTATCACAATATTTTTTTTATTCTCAAATAAGTACCATAACATAATCATCCGCAATTTTAACTTAATACTGAAATCATTCAAGTATGTGGAAACACTGGGAAAACCTCCACCGTTTTATGATTAAACAGGAACAACTGTCAAATGTAACATTATCAAGTTCACCAGTAGCTTTAAATACGATTGTGGAATTTTTAATTATTGGTACTCCCTTTAATCCCAAATTGCTTGGTTAGAAGATGATTCTGTACTCATAACTGAACCAAATACCAAACAAAAAAACCTTTTCTACATAGACAAAAACCTAATGACAGCTGTTGGTAAACTCTCTTCCAGGTAATGAAGCAACTCTCTGTGTTTACGATCTATAGGGGCTTACCACAGAGAGTTAAAGAGGTGTGTCACAAAATTAGACTAATTTTCTACAACATACTGTGATTAACTGATAACCATCTATCCTGAACTTTAAAGGGATGGCTTATTCACCTCTAGATGATAAGAGGAGTTATATGTGGAGATATGAGTGGCAGTACCAAGAATGTATGGAATGCTACGTATGATGTCATAATGATGTCATAATTATGTCAACCACTTATCTATCTCGCTATCTCAAATATTTTTAAAAAAAAAACATCTCACAGACTCACATTCTATAAATACAGGTAATGTTGAAATGTGATAATTGAGGGAACTCCACCCAGGGGTCTAATTTAAGCCTCAAAATATGACATTTAAATCTCTTTCATAGATCTGTAGGGGTTCTTAAAATAGAAAGATATTCAAAAGATAAGAAATAAATTGAAAATCTTATTTTTCTGCTGTTCTTAGCCAGATTTGAGTGAAAAGCGTTGCAACGGTTCACACAATTAAAATAATTATTCTGAAAAAACAGAGTGAGCGAATGATCTGATATTTTGCACACAAGTTATTGGTTTAAATCTTCATCAAATGGAACAATAATCTGACGAAAAAATATTAAAAGTGAACTCTGTCATGTAAAAAAATCTCAATGGAGTCCCTTTAAAGAAGAGAAGTGTTGCAGTCAAAAATCCTCATCAATATTGTATATTCCTAATCCTAAGGGATTTTATGCAATTGTATGAAAAAATATACATTTTCAATATATAAACTCTTCTGGCTCAACAAACTATTTCACATGGCACCACCATCACTTAACAAACAATATACACTGTTTATTACTTTGCTAATTTTTAAAATTTGAAGATAAAAATACTTGAAAATTGAACATCCAACATAAAACCAGACTGCAATTGTAGCTGCAGGCACCAGGTGCGGTTTTTAACTAATATGCAAAACACATGTTATTCCAATTTACTGATGCTCAATGAGTTAGAATAAAGGGCATGATTTTTTATGGTAACAATTAATTCATTCACCATTTAGTTCACTAGTGCTTGTTCACTGAAAAACTATAATTATTATCACTCCACCACGCTTTGTTACTACTTAGTTACTCAGTGTTAGCCGCAAAACCCAAATTGTAATACCCTTAATTAGAGGTTTAGTCACGCTTTTTCTTGACTTGGCAGAAAAAACGAAAAAAAAACACATAAAAACATCAAAAATAGCAAAAAAACATATGTTGCAAATTGGTTAGAATGCAGGAATTTAAGTTCAATGACTGTGCATAGTATACTCTAGAAACTGATTAATGAAATAGATATGTAAGAGATAGTATAGTAACTGCTTAAATGTGAACAATGGCATACCTCATGCATCAGTCATAAACACAATTATGTCAGACAATATACATGTATAATTAGCAATTAGAAAGAAAGCAGTGACTGAGCTCTTGGCTGCTCACCTGAGTTCCTTAACAATACTTGTAGCTTATTTTCTGGCTGAATAATTATGATGAAAACTTGAAGCATATTTGAACTTCAAGTTTGTTTCTACATTCTTATCAGTTCTAGGGTCACATAAGGAAACATGGTCCACAGTAGGGCTTGAACCCAATACTTCCCACACAACCCTTTAAACTATATACATGTATACAGTTTAAGCACAGCTTCATTTGTCAATAATGATGCTATATAATTGCCTCTCTAATTAATCAAGGACAAAAAATTATGTTTCCTATATATAATAACGTAATGTCTTATAAAGGAAACAGGTGCTGGATAGTATTATATTTCATGGAGAAATTTAATCATATACAGATAAGATCATAACTGAAATAAGCAAAATGCCTGAATCATAGACTCAATATGCACTATCTGAAAATTATCCACGTCTGACAGAGTTATCCACCTCTGACAGTTAGAGTTATCCCCCTCTGACAGTAAGAGTTACCCATCTTTGACAATTAAGTTATCTACATATCCTACATCATACATATACATACATATAATACCAACATTTAGCTTATGATAATGGACATCCATCAATCTTTTTTATGACTATATGAAAAGGTATTTTGCCTAAATTGAATGTTGGCATACATGCTGACAAAGATCTTTAACTAAATTGATATTTATGTAACATGGAAGAGAATACTTGTGATAAATATTGCTCAAAAAGTTATTTATAGTAATCAGAGATTATGAGCAGAAGACAGGAAGTTTCACAACACAGTATGATCAAACATTTTCTCTGGAATGAATATTTATCATTACAACAGTCAAAACAATATCGCAAAACAAACAATACAAAAAATACATATATACCTCTCCATGATTGCTGCATTTAATAAGAATTTATGTGTGTCAATAACAAATTTATCTCTTACTTCTTATACAATAAATATCATGTTCTTTAAGTTTAAAAGTGATTGAAGAATAGGAAACTTTCTAATGAACTGACTCTCAAGATGTATGATTCGCCTAAAATGATTTTTTGTTCTTAGACTTAAAATAGTGAAATATTCAAATAGTTTGATCTTTACCATACAATTGTATCTAGGTAACTAAGTGTTAAAGAATCATTTCTTGTAATTTTGATTTACAGTTGCCTAGACAATAGCTGTTTCACACTCAAGGTATGTGTGTATAAAAAATTGTCAAGCTGCCGCTCTTTTTCGATGGTTTGTAATGAGTGAGAATGGACATGAAATCACTAATATGGGATTAATGCACTTGAATTAGGACTAAAGTTTATTATTTTCCGTACATAATGTGATAATGTTAAGTAAAATCACATTATATAACAAAATTTATGTTCACAATTTAGACATGTGAATAAACAAAACTGATATATTTCCAAAATATAATCATGACAAAAATATATATGTCCATATAAAAGTATTAACACATCAAATACTTACTTTTTGACAAATTTGGCCAATAAACTCTGATTCAATGACAAGCTTATGTGGTTATCTTTCAACACCATAAACCCATTTGATAAGGAAACTCCTGCATTTATCTGATCTATTTCCTGGCTTCTTGAACTGTCCCTTCAAAAATACATAGATTATACATAGATTATGGCTGAAAATAGTATGACTTAACTCTTTAACTACATACTTCCAGGCCATTTGAAAATTCTTATTACAGTGAAACCTTTTAACAACAGTTTCAATTCTTTCAAAAGGAAAACTTCACAATTAATGTAACTATTACTAGACCAACACCTCTCTGTAACAGCCAAAATCTTTGGTTCCTTAAGAGGTTTGACTGTATCTAAAAGAGACCATATCTACTGTGAGAAAATGAATCAGGTCTTTGTAAATTCAATTTGAAATTACATTAACTTTTTTTAATAAGAAAATGTCCAGCATGTTGTGATTTAGTGTAAGATAGGTAAAATGTAAGATAAGTAGCCTGGGTGGAACAAAAATATGTATGCTTGAATCAATATAGATAAACCAGATATAATCAAGATGCATTTGTCATATTTCGGAATTCCCATCAACTTATAAATGTATTTAAATTATATCCAATAAAAATTAATGATTACAGGTGAATCCTGGAAAGCATGTTTCAAAGATAAATCCAAAACTATTCAAAATAAGAAATGACATTCATACAATCGATATTAAAGATACATTATCTGAACAACTAAATACTTGAGTTTTAGTTTGTATAAGGAAGTATACTGACTTTGGCAACAAGTAGCACTACAAGATTCATTCTGTGCATAAAGTACTTTTCTAACAGACATCTTAAAAATAATCATCATTACTGGAAATTCAAATATACTAGGCTTACCTGTAAAGTGTACACATTATTTAAATATATTTGACACACCTATAGGATACTGGATCAATCAATAAAATATACTGTATTTACCTGTAACCAAAGTACCGGCAAATGTCATCAGCAACACTGGAAGTCCAGCCATGACTACATACTGGTAGGAACTGATCATGTGACTTGATAGTGACAATATCTGATGAACCTGTGATACCTCTATCAGTAAGTTTTACTGTTTAATGTAAAGAAAAGTTTGTTAAAAGATGAAATATTAATGAAAATGATGGATTCTAAATTCAATCCCTATATATGCTTGATAGATTTGTATTAACTTTTCATAGACTATTGTAACAGAAAAACAAACAAACAAAAATTCAAGGAAACTAAATCCGAGAGGTAATAGTGTAGGAAACTAAGACCAGTTAGTAGGACCCTCACTGTGTCTAGGTCTGGGAACAGTAACTTTTATTTACCAAAATGTTCACAAGGGTTTGCAGTATATAAAACAATATTTCGATTCAAACCAAATGGTCGAATAATCAAGATATCCATGATGGTGTCCAAGATGGACGCCAAAATGATGAAAAAACACTTATTATTATTTGGCCATTTTTTTAAAGAATTTTTGACTACACATATACAATAGAATAAACATGTTTAATTTATTGTAAATAAATGAAGACTAATTATCTGAACATTAACCATGCTAGAAACTGAAAGTGATTAGCCTGTGCCACCAGTATAAAGAAAGCATGCACATCTGTCCAGTCCAACTAGGCTCTAAAATGTTGCTGGTTGACAAAACTTTAAATTTTCATCTTGATATCTCTAAAATTGATAATGAACAGCTCCAAAAATGGAAGCAGGACCAGTCCATTTAATAAATTCAGCAAGATCAGGGTTATAACTTACAACAATCGACTTCATCATCCCCTGACGGACACTGTTTGATACCATCACAAACTTGGTGAGCTGAGATACAAGAATAATCTGAACACTGTGCTTCATCACTACCACATACACCTAAAATAATAAATTGAAAATAATAAAAAGTGAGATACCTTTACATGAGTAAAAAATAAATCTTAAAAATAATAAACATTAATTTTAGAAAAATAGATTTATTATTTTAAGAAAAGTAGCATAATAAAGGTGAAATAACTACATGTATAAGAATTTTCTATTTTTTATCATTAAATGTCCTACCTGTTACTAAGATGTAAATATTATCCACAAGACATTAGCTATGTCTGAAGTTTCAAGTGAATAGCCTACCTTTAGTAGTTGTTAGGGTTGGTAATGCATGCTTTAATCTCAAACATAAATTTTCAGTTGCAGAAATGGAATACTTCAGTAAAACAATTAATGCAAGAGTTATTGGTCTTGGTAAATAACATACCAACGCCAAAGATTTCGGTGAAGTTCCAGTAGAATACTCTCGGTGATTAATGAGATATACAGTTCCACACACAGCCTTAACCAAATGTTACATTGAAGCAATTGGTTGAAAAATACGGCCGCTATAAAACTGAATAATCTAATTAAATAATAAGTTTGTACACAACATACTTACCACAATTTCTTTCATCCGAACCATCTGAACAATCCATGTGACCATCACAGAACCATTTTGCCATTACACACATCTTCCTGTCGTCGCACGGTTTCTCTGCTAGAATGTTACACATGGAACAATTGTTTTCATCTGTGTTGTCGAAGCAGTCATCGACACCATCACATATTTTTGACCAGTGTACAGACAAGCCATTATTACATGGCCTATATCCATTGGGCATGGCTACAATAAACATTCACACATAATATGTCATTTCAAGATTTTCATAACCTACAAAATTGACAGTATACTTCAGTTTTTCTTATCTTAAAATGCTTATCTGGAAACTTGTTATAAAATTACATTGAATATTTCTAAGTTGACTTTCTCTATTACCTGATTTTGTATATACTATAGTAATTACATTGTTAAAGACTACCATCTTTTTCACTTTTTGTGCTTTTTTGTTAGTTTTAAAAAGGCATTTTTGATGAATACAAATGAATAGGTAATGCATACTGTATTTTGCTTGAATATTTCAAAGAACAATATCTTACTAGGAAAACAGCCCATTAGGACAATCGCCCACTTGGACAGTATCCCGCTGGACAATAGCCTACTCAGGACAAGAGCCCCACCAAATAATAGACAACTGCTAAATTTGGCAGGGAGGGCAATTGCTCAATGCTTATCAAAATGCAAAGGGCTTTTACATTTTTACTGTAATATTTATAAGTTTACGACTCTTGTCTACAAATTAAAAGTCACTGTAACTGCAATTAGATCAATCAGTTAGTATTTATTATGCTTCAAATCATTGAAGGCTACTAATGTGACATACCGGTACTTCAGACTTTCCTTCTTTTACACAGTATCCTCACTTAATCTGTAAAAAAGAAATTCTCCTCATACTTTCTTTATCCAACTAAATCTATTTATAAAATAAAGAAAACAAACTTATACTGAACTTACTACAATTCATTTCATCAGAAAGGTCCATGCAGTCCACATGAAAATTACACTGTACAGAATCTGTCCAGAGACACTGACCTGAGGCACATTGAAATCCAGTACAGTCTGTTGAATAAACCAAAATAAATAAAATTAGCATTCAATACTATATATATTTAAAATTATTAACATAATGTATGATATAAGCCAAAAGAGCCAAGAATTATTATATTTAAGAATTTCAATTTTTATGTTTTTAGGACTCTTGACATCAGTGGAGTTCATTTGATAATAATAATAATAAGAATAATTTTGATTATAGACAGTAACTTACTAGAGCAGTTCATTTCATCCGATTTATCAAAACATGCCGGGTATCTATCACATCTAGATGAAGCGTCTACACATTGTCCACTGTTACATCTAAACTGTGACCTCGAACATTCTACAAACATTATCTGCCAATTAGTTTAGACATGTCCCTTTTACACACATAAAGGCATTTTTATCTTAACAAATATGAACATTATGAATTAAGATACAATGCAATATATGTTTGTTATGTACAACAGAGAGAAGTCATGGAAGACAGTGGCATTTAAATTTACACACGAAGCTCCCCAGGGATAGTATCAGATTTGTCACCCATGGGTTGCTGGTTGGATCCTCAGGTAGTTTCTCATAAATTATCTTGGGCAATGAGTCTTATGGTCATGTGTCTCTCATCCCAGATTGAGAATAATGTGGTATATTTAGTCTGTCATTTGTGGAAAATAATAATTTCTTAAGTTAGTTAGTAATCCATGAATCTACAGTTTACATTTTGAGCTTCTTATTTTAAGTATTACTTCCAAAGTATGCATGAAAAATCCATATTAGGCAGAACTGTCATGTAAAATATATTTAAAGTTAATATATCAGACTTACGAACACTTTCCTGTCACAACCTACGGTCTAAATCTTGTCAGAGAATTAGAATTCTTTAATGTGTGGATTAGCTATCAAGTTGTCTTACAAAAGGTCAATTGGTCATTCTAAGACCAAGGTGCCTGAAACAATATGAGTAAATAGGTGGAAAGTGATCATATTTAAGTGTTGGAGTGACTTGATGTACAAAAAAGTAATTAAATTACCACAATTTTCATATTCATCTTCACCAAGAGGACAATGGAGTTTTCCATCACATACATGAACATTCTCTATACATGTACCATCTGAACACAGAAACTCATTGGATTTGCAGACTGAAACAATAAAATCAATGTATGTCAGATAAAACTACATGTACTACCAATATAATGTTCAGTACAACCTCTAATACATCAATATACTCTGTACAACAACAATATCAACTCTTCCCAAAGTAAAATTTCAGAATAAATTTAACCTCCTAAAGCAACAACTTTCAGCAAAAACTTAAATTTTTGTCTTCCAAAGGGTAATATATAACTCTGCATAGGTTGTACTATATATGTAATGGTTTGTGAAAATGGCTGACTTATTTTGATTAATTAAGTTTTTTCATTAGATATTTTTAGTAGATATAACGGAAAGTGCAACAATTCTCTCATGCATGACTCCCACCATCCCTCCTCCCTCACTGTCACTCCCTTCCTGACACCCACCATCCCTCCTCCCTCACTCACTCCCTTCCTGACACCCACCATCCCTCCTCCCTCACTCCCTTCATGATACCCACCATCCCCATCCCCATCCTTTCACTCCCTTCCCCTAACACTAGCTTAAGCAGTATCTAATCTTGAAGACATTAAAGATTTCAAAATTAAAATTAAAACAAACAACAACATAGCATTAACTGTATAAGATGAAGTAAATGAATATTTACTGTTGACAGTTGTTGTAACTGTTGGAATAACTGTAGTATTTATCACTGGCTTCGTTGATAAAGTACTTGCCGGAGATTTTGTTGGAATATTTGTAGATGATGAGATTGATGACAATGTAGTGCTCAGCACTGAAACATGTACAATACAATTATATTTATAAATCATACAGTTACTGCTTGAGTTGAAGCCAATTTAGCATAATCTGGTTTATTATATGATCTAAATATAGCTGCAATCTCATTGGTCCAAACAGTAGTCAACAGAACTTTTTATAAAATCATATTTACTGGGTGTAGTATCATATTCACTGGCTGAATTGGATTTTCCCAGTCTAAAAATAGATTGAGACTCATATTCAATGATCATACACCGTAGACTGTTAATTACGCGTGTTGATTAAAAAATAATTGTTGCTTTTTGTTCTTTATGGCATATTTCTCGATTAAAATATCAATACTTTACTATTATACTTAAAGGTAACACCGCAATGATGAGTATAGACTTGAATTATTTTTGTATGCGCAGCGTTCGCGTAGTCGTTGCACGCCTAACACGTGCGTCTTTTTTCCCGCGCTTCAACGAAGCAAAATTTGTACATGTATAATTATAAAATTGTACTTTTGTGATTTTTTTTATTTCTTAGCCTATTCATATAATAAAACAATTATTGACTAGTGAACCATTGAATATGATGTGATATTCACCGGCAGAAAGTCATATTGACCTCGGCTATCGCCTCGGTCAATATGTCATCTGCCGGTGAATATCACATCATATTCAATGGTTCACTAGTCAATAATTGTTTAATATTACACTACAATACAAGTATCACTTGGTATATAACATTAAAATACAAAAAATACCTGGTATACTACACTAAAATACACTATTACCTGGTATATTACACTAAAATACAAGAATTATCTGGAATATTATGTTATAATATAAGTATAACCTGGTATATTACACTAAAATACGACAATTGCCTGGTATATTACACTATATTACAAGTATTACCTGGTATACCGGTATTACATTATAATGTAAGAATTACTTGATATATTACACTATAATACAAGAATTACCTGGAATATTACACTATAATACAAGTATTACCTGGAATATTACACTATAATACAAGAATTACCTGGAATATTACACTATAATACAAGTATTACCTGGAATATTACACTATAATACAAGAATTACCTGGAATATTACACTATAATACAAGTATTACCTGGAATATTACACTATAATACAAGTATTACCTGGTATATTATACTTTAATACGAGAATTACCTGGTATATTAAAATAAAATACAATATTTACCTGGTATATTACACTTTAGCACTATATTTTACTTGGTTTAGATCTAGTACTCAATAGTACAAGAAAAAACAAGAACTGTCAAAGGACAGTAACGCCTGACTATTCGAAAAGTTGTCACAAGGGTGTTTCATTGAGTATAATAATGCTTACCTATATGAATACATAAAATTGTCCGAAAAGGTACAAAGGCTTGTTATTAAGATGTTTTATAGAGTTATTCACTGCTTTATTATTATGAATGCATAAAATTGTTCGAAAAAAGGCACAGTTACCCTTCAGTAGTTATGGAGATATCAGCTTACAAGCAAAAACTTTACCTAGAATTTCTTAGCCCAAAAAGGGGCATAATTAGGAAAAAAAAACAAATCAGTTATGGGACTTGTGCCAATCATGTTAGATAATCACAAAGAACAAGTGTGTGAAGTTTCAATCCATTCCCTTCAGTAGTTATGGAGATAGCAGCTTACACACAAAAACTTAACCAAGATTTGTTTGTTTGTTTGTTTGTTTCATTTTACGCCTTTTTCCAACAGTATTTCAGTCATATAGGCGGGTAGTTTCCTAACCATCGTTCCTAGAGAGTTACACCAGTACTAGACTACCTTCCTCCGTGCTAAACTACCAAAGCATCTCCCGGGGATCAAACCCATGCTAGAGAGGTAACTGGATTAGAAGTCATCGACTCTAACCCCTCGACCACGGAGGCGGTACTTAACCAAGAATTTCGAAGACGAAAAAAGGGCATAATTATGCAAAAAAGCAAATCAGAGTTATGGGACTTCTGCCAATCATGTTAGATAATCACAGAGAACAAGTGTGTGAAGTTTCAATCCATTCCCTTCAGTAGTAATGGAGATACCAACTTACACGCAAAAACTTAACCACAGGGACGCTGAAGCCGACAAATGGGTGACTGCATTAGCTTGATTATTCTGTGAATAGTCGAGCTAAAAATTGGTATAATACAATAAAGTATAAGAATTGCAAGAATTACCTGGCATTATAGATATGCTACAATACAAGAATTACCCATTACTATAATGCTATAGCAGTCTGTGAAATTAGGGTTTAAAAATTATTGTCATTCAGGCAACCAATTCAAGAAAATCTGGTTGTCCAAAGTGAAAACTGGTTGCTGAATATTTTCATCAGAACATCTCCAAGCAATTATTGATCAAATCTGCAAACTTATCTTCAGTGAGAAACATTCATAAATGTAAGCAAACTAATTTTATTTGATATCTTGCATTTTATCACTATTTGTATACTTTCTGCAAATTTTTTTCTTGTCCATCGGGCAAATAAACTTTCAAAAATTGGTTGTCCAGACCAAAAAATGGTTGTCTTTGCAATAGGACAACTGCTAATTTCGCAGTCTGCTAAAGTACAATAATTACTTGCTGTACTAAAATTACCTGATTCTGTTGATAATGGTGATGAAGTTGATGTCTGATTTTGAGAACTGGGTTTCCCTTCATCTCCCCCTAAAACATAATAGGCAAAATACATGTATAATATATGAGAATTAATTGTTATCACAAAAAAATAATATTTACCTTTTAAAACAAATTAGAGTCAAGTAACTTATTAATTAACTATTGACCATAATCCCTTTTAAATATTTATTCAGTGGGAGCAGTTGACTTGTAACATGCAGTCAAAATACTCCACTTTCCAAGTTTCACCTAAGCCTACTTCCCTAAATCAAGGAAAGGTAACTACAAGCTAAATATTTCACTGTCTTAAACATGCAATTAAGCGTTGTTTAAAATTTCTAAAAACTGCTAGTATATATACGAGTACATGTATATGTAGATCTATGTCCTATATTTAAATTACATTACTTGTGAATGAATACATATATATCTCAAAAAGTAACAAAGTCTTGACTACATACATGTACATCATATAATGAAGATATATAAGCAACTGTAGAATACATACATTCCTTCATACATCTTTAAACTTGACATACATAATTTCTTATAAATCAGGTTAGATTAATTATTTAGCCTCCAAAATGAAAAATGTTTTTCTTTCATGTAAGACACATGTAAGATACTTCTCACTATAACACAATATCACTGGGTGTGAAATAATTTGTGATTGAGGTAGCAAAATGCAAACACAGTACCACTTTTACTTCCATCATTACATGTATAAACAAACTTATTTCCAAAATGCAAAAGAGGCAAAAGATGTTTCAGCTAAATGGTAATGTTCTTTTGGAAACCAAAAACAAAAGGCCTGGAAATAATAAACTTATGAATTTTTTTTAGGCTTAATGGGCCTTTAAGCATTTATTATGCTGTTTGTAAAAGAAGGTGAGAGGGATTTGTAGTGACAGTAGGTGAGGGGGATTTGCAGTGAAAGTAGGTGAAAGGGATAGGTGAGAGGGATTTGTTAGTGAAAAAGGTAAAGGAATTTGTTAGTGAAAGTAGATGAGAGGGATTTGTTTGTGAAAGTAGGTGAGAGGGATTTGTTTATAATGAAAGTAGGTGAGAGGGTTCTGTTTGTGAATGTAAAGGAGAGGGATTTGTTTGTGAAAGTAGGTGAGAGGGACTTGTTGGTTAAAGTAGGTGAGAGGGATTTGTTTGTGAAAATAGGTGAGAGGGATTTGTTTATGAAAGTAGGCAAGAGGGATTTGAATGAGAAGGTTAAGATATGGGAGACAACTTAAAGAAAGTAAGAGAAACTGAGCATATAGCGTGAGAGGGATGGTTTGGCAGTGTCACAACAAATAATATACATACCTGAGAGTTTAAGGACCAATATAATGGCTGTAATGAGTGATATAATGGCAAATATAATGAGAATCACAGCTGCTATACACAAGAACCTTGTTTGTGTCTTTGATATTACTCCAGATTTATCTCCTATTTTTTTTTCACAATCACATAGATCAAATTTTTGAACTTCTAATGTATTATTGTTTTCATTTGTAGATGTTTTCATTGTGAGCAGTTTTCCTTTACATTCTTCCCCCATTATGCTGGCAACCTTTTTTTAGTTGCTCTGACCTTGACACAAAATCTAAAGGAAAAAAACAAAGCAAAATGTTATATTAGCAAAAACAGAAATGCCACTAAAATAATCAAAATCATAAAGGTCATTTCAATATATCAAAATGAAATCACAATAATTTTTTATAAATATTTTTCACATTTGACCTTGTTCGTCAAGATAATTTATGGGTCAAGGTCATAATTCAATGTTAGAAGTGCTACAAAAGATAGAAGTGCTACAAAATATAACTAGTTTATGTTTATTTAAAAGTTATGTGAAATTTCCATGATAAAAAGTGACAGTAAATTTGGATTTATATTTCATATTATGTAAAAAAAGAAGTTGGATATGTTGTGTCCAATGATTAAGGCTCTTCCTCATAAAGCTTATTAGTTGACTGCAGGGGTATAAATATAAAACAAATTGTTATTTTGGGATGGAAACATAAAATGGAGGCCTAATTACTGACAGACAATTTGTATGTGGCCTTTACTCAGTGTGGTCTATGGCACAAATTCAACCAACATAATGTATATAATCATAAAATAAATGCTTTAATAATTCATGTTCTGTATGAATTGAAAGGGTGCTATCGTTTTAAAAATACAGGGTATAAACAAGTGTCACAAGAAAGGTACAAATTAAAAAATGATATTATAGACTCCTAAGAAGGTACACATGTGCTTGTGATCACAAGACAATTACACATTGACTTGTCTATAGGCTACACCTTGACTTGTTTAGGCTACACATTCACTTGTATAGGCTAAACATTCACTTGTATAGGCTACATATTCATTTGTATAGGCTACACATTCACTTGTATAGGCTACACATTCACTTGTATAGGCTACACATTGACTTGTATAGGATACACAATGACTTGTATAGGCTACACCTTGACTTGTATATGTTACTCATAGACTTGTATAGGTTATACATTGACTTGTATAGGTTATACATTGACTTGTATAGGCTACACATTGACTTGTTTAGGATACACATTGGCTTGTATAGGCTAAACATTAACTTGTATAGGTTACATATTGACATGTATAGGCTACACATTGACTTGTATAGGTTACACATTGACTTGTATAGGTTATACATTGACTTATATAGGCTACACATTGACTTGTATAGGATACATATTGGCTTGTATAGGCTACACATTGACTTGTATAGGATACATATTGGCTTGTATAGGCTACACATTGACTTGTATAGGATACACATTGGCTTGTATAGGCTAAACATTAACTTGTATAGGTTACATATTGACATGTATAGGTTATACATTGACTTGTATAGGCTACACATTGACTTGTATAGGTTACACATTGACTTGTATAGGTTATACATTGACTTATATAGGCTACACATTGACTTATATAGGCTACACATTGACTTATATAGGCTACACATTGACTTATATAGGCTACACATTGACTTATATTGGCTACACATTGACTTATATAGGCTACACATTGACTTATATAGGCTACACATTGACTTATATAGGCTACACATTGACTTATATAGGTTATACATTGACTTATATAGGCTACACATTGACTTATATAGGCTACACATTGACTTATATAGGCTACACATTGACTTATATAGGTTATACATTGACTTATATAGGCTACACATTGACTTATATAGGCTACACATTGACTTATATAGGCTACACATTGACTTATATAGGCTACACATTGACTTATATAGGCTACACATTGACTTATATAGGCTACACATTGACTTATATAGGCTACATATTGTGCAAGATATGGGACAGTGATTTCAATTATCTTATGTGCTTCTGCTGACTTTACCATTTTTTTGCCACATTTTTGCATTTTTTTACTTGAAACAAAAGTATAATAAAAAAAATATTAACATGTAGTCTCATTTCATTTAGTCACACTGACATTCAACTTATCAGAAAAAAAATGATAAAGCCCATAATCACTTCCTTGACTATTTAAAATATGTGTTCATAAAACTATGTAAGATTTTACAGTAAATGTTTGAAAATTATCTAATCAGGTCTAGTTTATATCTGGGTAAATGTTTGTATAGATTGTCTGGATATTTTTTGCAGTGATAATATAAGATACTATAAGATACTATTTTCTCTAGAATAACTAAACGATGGCAATACACATAGCTTATCCCCTGTATGATTTTTGTAATTAAGGTAAAAAATTTCAAAAAGTCACATTTATACCTTTTGTCTTAATTTTTTATACAATGAAAAAAAGAATTTCTTAAAAGATGTGATCATGTATTTCAGATTTCCATGTTTCTCACTCCCTCCAAACCCCTTCCCCTGACATTAGCATATAATTCCCCCCATCCCCGACACCCCCACCCCAATTTTTGTGAAATTTAGTCATAATTAGAGGAAGTCTAAATATGGTTAATGCTTAATATAATACAGAATGGCTGAAAGATAATAAACACATTTTAATTGATTTTAAAATACATTAAAATATAAAAAATATTTAATAAGTTTTTAGAATTAACATCAGCATATAATAAAACTATCATATATTGATCCATATCTTTTTGTCTGAAAAAAAATCAACCTTGATTAAACCTCCAACATTATGTTTTTTAAATGTTAAATATTTTGCACTTTATTCCCTTGAGAGTTGATTTTGGCAAAACAATACATAACACAGCAGAAGTAAGTATTATAAATATACAAGATAGTGAATTTATTTCAGTTTTGCCAAGGAGAGTGCATTCAAAACTGTAAATACACCTGCAGGTTCCAATAGTTAAGATAACAGATATAGTACTAACATGTTGATAAGCCTTTGCCACCAGTAATATTAGAGCCAGGCTGGCCAGCATGTGTGTGGCCAGGCCAGCCTGCATGTGTGTGGCCAGGCCAGCCTGCATGTGTGTGAAATCTGACCAGCTCAGGGCGCTATACTGTTGGCTTCAAATTTTTCATCCTGATATCCCCAAATTAAAAATGGACAGTTCCAAAAATGGAAGCTTGACAAGTCCACTGAAGAAATTCAGGAGATTACATTTTTAGTGTCCTCAAACAACAATTTACACTGCCTGGTATAATTTGATAAATCAAATCCTATTCAGATAGGAGAACAAAAAACAGATTACTTTTATTACAGTGCTGACATATTAATCAGGAGAATGCAGTTGATAAAATTTTGTTTTTGATAACTAACATCTTGCCTATTACAGCACAAACTTATACATCTGAGTAATCTGTTCAGAATACTAAAATATTTCATACTGAAACACCTTAAAATAAAAAATGGACAAATAAATAATCAAGACAGATGATTTTATAGAAAAAAAAATATTTATGAATTAACAAGAACATACTTTTATTATCAAATTAACATATTTAATCATATCCAACATATTTTATCAAATGATAAACCTATTAGAAATCACATAATAATTAAAGCAGATATTAACCAATCATTGAGAAACTTGGAGGTAAAAAAAGTTTTTTGGGTTTTTTTTGTTATTTTTTAAATTTGTTTAAACTTAAACACTGAATATACAAAAATCACTTAATAAATCAATTAACAGAGTATACTAAGTCATGAATTACTAAAAACAGATTGTATCAAATGATTAATCATATGGGAAGATTTAAATTATATTATGAATAGATTATAAATTATTAATCAGTTAAAAATTATATTTTATTAATATTAAAACAGTAAGGAGAATTACATCAAATCATGAATCAATTTGTAGACATGATATTAAATCATGGATCAATAAGATTAGATTATATCTATTTATTAATCAGTATATTAAAATATTATATCAAATCATGTATCAATTAATTAAATCATGTATCAATTATCAATTAAATCGTGATTCAATAAGATGAGTTCACATCAGAACAGAACAATCATTAATTAGTTTGATGAGATTATATCAAATCATTAATGAAATCATTAAATATTAAATCAAATTAAATTATTAAATCATTAATCAATTAGGAAAGAATCCACCAGAAAAGCTTATATAAAATGATGAATCGATACAGAAGATTATATTAATTAATAATATTCAAATCATTATCAATCAGATAAGATTTATATCAAATCATGAATCAATTTGAAACTTAAATTAATTAGATCATGCTGATTATATCAATTAGACCAGATTGCAACAAATCTTAAATTATACAGAATTGGTTTTCAAATCATAAATCAATTCAAATAGATATTATAAAACAATTTTAATCATTTATTGCAACAAAATTATAAAAATTAATTTGAAAATATTTTATATAATCATTAAATATGATTATAATTATAAAATCATTAAGCAATCATAGAACAAAATCTTGGGAAAAAAATTGAAGTGTATCATATGCCATTGTAATAAGAATAAATCATAATTTATAGTTCTAAATTATATATTACATTTTATCAGCTCTATTCTTTTTCATTTATTTTCAGTGGGATTAATGTATAAAAAGAAAGAATATTTTAGAAGAGAATAAAAAATAAACAATAAATATATTATGTAAATTTAAAATAGTTAAAACAATATTTTGTTACATATACAACTTTTTACATGTTGTTCATTTTGTTTTCCTTTGATGTATATATGAAACAAACCTAGGGCAATATTAAGAAAATATACATCCTTTAAACTACATTTTGCTTAGATCTGCACATAATATAAATGAAAGGTAAAAAAAAATCATTGAAATTCAATAATAACATTTCAAATATTCAGTTATGTTTAAATAAATATTCTATACTTTTTTGTACTTACTTAATTATGTCACCAAAAAGTTACTGAATACCTTTAATATGTCCCTTGTTAAAACTAGTAACTAGATCTACCTGAATTAAAACAGTTAACATTTTTTATTTCAAACATAGTTGTTTTTACATTGCCCACATATAATTATCAGATCACATAGCAGAAAACATCTTATTATCATCCGAACTTTATTATGTGTTGACGGCTGACTTTGCTCATCATTTTATATGGCCACCACACCTGTGGTT